CGACGACCGACAGCCTGTCGCTATGAAAGCCACGCTGCTGAGTTTTTTCTTTTTTCTTTTTGCAATCGACGACGCGGGGTATGTGGCACGCGCGAGGGATTAGCAACCATTGAAGCTTATCTATCAGGCACGAGCTGGGGGACACGTGTGTTTATGCGTCTACGAAGGAATCGGAAACTCCGTTGGGGGGACGTGGTTTGTTCCGGAAATAATGGAAAGAATAATAGGAGTACGGGAACTTGCGAGAAAGTCGAGGAGGATTTGTCGGACGAGAATAAGTTTGTCCGTCGTAAAAAGCGCCGGTTTGGCGGGTCAATTGAGCCAAGATTCGCCGATACGTCGTTGTTAGCGATATATTGATCCAGAGTTGCTTGGTCGATGCTGTTTACTGAGGAGCTACGAACTCGTTGTTTTCAGTCACCAAGTGTGCTAGAGGTCACTCTTATCTCTCGTGCGGATTGATGAACAAAAATGTTGGTTGGGACTTTTGGTGGGATGACAAAGCAATGATTCAAAACGATATATGCCTGATATTTGTGTATTCAATTCTTGGACGGGACGGGCAAGTGCATTTTCGAGGAAAAATCAACGGAATGTCACACCACTCCGTGTCTCGTGTAAAAAGCTTGGCGAGTCTCGTGTTTGAACTAACGGTGATGTACGCAACTTGAATCCCAATTGACGCTTCATGCAAACGAGTGTGCGTGCGAATTAGGATATCCGTGACAAAGTTTACTAATCGTAAATTCCGTCAATACTTGCATGAACACCCATTAATGCCATTTATACATGATAAAAAGAAAAAAATTTGTATCAATAACAACATGCTTCTCATGGTCACTCTATGAAAATTATTACAATTCTGTCACAAGGTCTCAGTATTAACTACAGTCCTCATCACAATTATATAATACAATCAATTAATAATTGAAGTAATAAATTGAAAGTCTCGTGAGATAATGTTAAATGCATTAGTTCAGTTATTAATTAAATGGCTTATTGTTTGTACCATCAGAATCATGCAGTCTAATAAAAAAATATTTGTAATAAAAATGTAAACGATAATCACTGATTTTTTAATATCCACAATCGTAGAAATGCCGAATAAAGAAAATTAGGAATAGGCTTAGTTTTTTTAATAGTACATAGTACAATCTTCGACACCTCATTTTCAGTACAAAAGAAATATAATGCATTTTCAAGTTCAGCATTATGGAGGCACAAAACCGACACTTTGTCAGCAAGAAAGGGAGAAAAGCATCAAAGGACGGCACAATAAAGTCTTCTTCTCTGAATCATCCACTTGGTTCCCAAGTCGAAGAAATACGCCAACTTGACGAAACCCTCGAGCCTCCCTCGTCTGAAATGGCGAATATCCCGTACAGGCGCTCCCTTCCCTTTGCCGATCCATCAGGGCAAATTGTATAGAAAACGAGGGCGGGAATGCTCTCCTCGTTCAATTAAGAGCGTTTTGTGCTCGAATGTACACTATATCCCTCCTCCCTACGCGCGCAGACACGACAACATGACAATTCGTTTTTGCGGTTGGATAACCACCCAGGGCCTCCTCGAGCGCGCGTTAATTCGATGTATATTCAACGAAGACGCGGCAAAAGGATGCGAGATGATGTTCGCGAGGAACGAAGGGACGAGGGAACGACAACGACGAGGAGGGCGTCCTGCGTCGCCACAAAGGATGAATTGTCATGCAGATTACGTCTTCTTCCTGGGGATTGCAAATTGGCCCTATGGTGACTTGTTGTCGGGTTGACGACACATGGTTGCACATGCACCATCGCACGACCTGTGTGTACCAACGTGTGAGCATCTATGGATCGTTTTTATTTTTTTTATTTTCATTTTTTTTTTTTTTTTCATTGATTTTTCGTTGACTCGTAACTTGGTGGTTTTTACTCGCTACGTGACATTGGTCGTTGTTAAATCCATTGGTTACAGATTACTTGTTTTTATTGTGATCGGTAAACTTTTCAGGTAAAGCTCGTGGTTAATTAAAAAAAAAGTAACACTACCTGATTCTCACATTTCGAGTGTTACAGTGGAGGGAAAAAAGCTACGACATCCAAGGTGTTTCGGGCAATCGGTGTGAAAAAATGTTCATGCCGATCTCAATTCTGATTATCCGTCACAAATAGTTTTAAACCCCAATAACAGATATTCTGAGGTGCCGCTTTGAAATGTAGTTGTATCGATTCAAATCTTTACTTAAAGACACAATATGGGTGTCAAAAAAAGAAACGAAATAATTGTAAGGGTTTCGTCAAAAAATATATACATATACAACGCGCATAGAGAGCGAATGGTAAGATGAACAAGCAAAAACGAGAAGAAAAGGAAAATAGGAGGAAGGAGAGCTGAGACGGAGAATAGAAGTTGAGCACAAAGGGTGCCGAAAGGGCGCGTTTACAAAGCGATCGAATTATAAGCCTTGACTCGCTTCGAGCTTATAGCCGTTTGCCGATTTTTGCGCCAACGCGTGTCGGCCAGATTTGCCACGCTTATGTTACGCCCTTCTCACTTTTCTTTTTTTTTTTTTTTTTTCTTCTTATGGTACTAAGATTTTAATCTGCGCTAAGTCAGAAAAAAGGAAGAGAAGGTGTAAGATCGCGTATGTAGATACGACCCCCTGTAAATCGTGACGATAACTTGCTGCTCAGGATGGATGATTTCAAGTACTCCACGCGGCACTATTAAAAAATGACATGATGACGTTACTGTCACCAATAGCGGCGTGACATTACTACAAGTAAATAAATTCAAATTGGTTACAAGCTAACCTTCGAGTTTATACCACGATTTCCTTGGAGTAGATTAAGTTGTTTCTGCATACAGTCTCTTATCGAAAACCGCGTGTAACGATTCTGGTTATCTCTAGCACGAAAAATCATTATTTTTTACCATAATGGATAAGCCAGCGAGCTCGAAACTTTGAACAATTTACATAACTATACGTAATCGCTCGATTGAGCTTTGAGATCGCGATGTTATCAAAGATAATGTAGCATTAATAGAATATTACCGGTAATGACACACCGTAAGACTAGAATTACACACTGTGCGTCACGTGTATAGTTGAAAAAAAAAACTTTTTTTAAATCGCGTAATATATTCCGTTATCCAACTTCAATCTCCGGTACGCATTTTGCCCGCAACTCACATGACTGAAATCACACGTGTACCATGGCGTTTCCTCGAAATCATAAAACACGAGCAGCCAAAAAAAAGGAACAGCCTTACCGTGGTCAAGAAAAAAAAAATAATAATAATGAACGGCTCACGAGCGTAATTAACGTGAGAACAGTCGAATTACGTATCGGTAACGAATCGGTACTTGTGCGTATCATATGTATACGCATACAACGAAAGTAAATAGTGAACATACGAAAATTACACCTACATGCGGAGGTTGAATAAAAGACACATGTACACGCCGTACTGCACTCGCGTCCAACCGAGAGAGTCTTATCGTAATTACACATTTCTAAACGGTCATAAATCTTCGTTTCGTCCGCGACACACCTTGTTCCTCCGCTTCCTCGCTTCTATGTGCACGTGCCATTCCGATTCTTCTTCAAATTACAGACTCGTATGAAATAAGTGTCTCCCGCATGGTAGGCTCCGACGCGCATACTTTATTTGCGTTTGATCTCATTTTTTTTACATTCATACCTGTGCAAGACACTTTTTTTCTTTTTCAAAGAGAACTCAAATATTTCATCTCCTATTGGACAGCTCTAAAAAAAAAAAAAAAAACATCCAAACCCACGATAAAAAAAGTACCCACTTGATTTTTTAAATCCTAAAAAATGGCATCACCACTTCCTGGTACAACTTAAAAAATATCTCCAACTCACATCGCCATCAAAGCGTTCTTTTGCGAAGCAGAGTGCATCATAATAAATATATACCAACACAAAAAGAGAGAGAGAGAGAGAGAGAGGGAGCGATCGATGCGTATCTGCCGCTCGGAGCGCTCTCGGTCTTTTTTTGTTTCCTCACATCATATTCCTCTCTCTTGCGCGTAGCACCTGCGCAAAATAAAATACCCCGAGCTCTCTCGGACGTTGCACTTTAATCCGAGCCTTAAAATCTCTCGACTCGGGCTCGTATTAGCTGCAGCCGCGAGGCGTTTTGCTCCGATCTCGTTCGCTCGTCAATACTACACGCTCGCAATACATGCATACCGCAGCAGTGGAGAGATAGGGACGCAGCACAATAAATTTATATTGTATACCCGTGTTGCGTCACGCCGGGCTACACGGTGAAATTTCAAGGATCGTTACGCCAGTGTCCTTCCGCGAGTCGTATGATTCAACAATGCAAAACGAGGCTGCACGACAAGCGTGTACACATGCCGTTCCAATTGATCGTCCTTCCGGTTACCGATCGCGCGAGGGAGTGGAGGATTTTTCTTTTTTTTTCTTTTTTTTTTTTTTTTTTTTTTGCGAAAAAAGCCCTCTCCTTCCTCGTTCAAGGATAAACGGTGTTGTGCAACGCCGGGCATTGATTTAGCGAGTATTAGCGAAAACACGAACGCGTGGGTGATGGGGTATACACAGTAGTATCATTCAAGTGTCATTTTCTTGAAACGCGGTAATGCGAGGTTGCGTCTGAACAACAACATGCACTGCTGCTGCAACGCGTATACTTTTTCGATTGCCAATGATAAATGGTAATTCGTATATTCGCCGAGGAAAATTAATACCTGCCCTCTCCTCCTATACCTTTCTTTTTTTTTCCTCGTTCCGAGGATTGTTTGCCTTTCTAATTAATAAATTACACCCGCGAGCCTACCGCTTAGCTCCTACGTGATTATACCGATTTTTAGCGTTTGACGCGCGATCGCTATTAATCACGCTCTCGGGTGATTTTCACACGCGGCGCTCTTATTCCCTATACGCGTTGGCAAACATCGGATTCGTCATTGTTGCACAAAGGTATAAGTACACAGAGGTACACAGCCATCAAGTGAAAATTCTTACCTTTTTCGAAGCGACGCGCTTAACCTCGCTGAGAAGCTTGACGGCCGGGAAGAGGTAGGACTTGACGAAGTTTTCCAAGTTGCCGTGGTAGGCGCAGACCAGTATGTCCCGAGCCTGCCTGGTCAGGATGTCGAGCACGTGCTCGCCGTAGATCGGCCCAAGGTAGCTCCGGACCAACGAGGCAGCATCTCCGCGCACCTGAAAAAACAAAGGGACGATTCATTCAAAGGCTGCACGCGGATTTTTTTTTTTTTAACCCACTAGGTAGCTTATTGATATTTGGTTGCGTAAACAAATCACCGCGACTCTCGTGAAAACGTAACAATGAAAATAATAAGCAAAATCCGATCGGTGCATGGGGATATATCGGCAAATAATAATCTGCAGGTGAAGTTGCCCCGAGGAACAAAGCCTTTCATCGATATGATTCAGTCCAGCGCCGTCAGCAGCAGCAGCTTAGCTCGTAACACACTGCACCGATGAAAAGACAGTCCATAGAGACGCGCGATCGAGCTGCTAATTGATGGACAGTACGACGCGACGGGGGTTGCTGTGCATAGGATTATACGCATTCGCAGCGATCACGTGTGGTTAGCACGAGGCGTTGCGTAATTTTCAACGATTCGGATCAATACCTGGTAACATGGGGTCACCACCTCGTTGGCTCTGGATTTAAAGGGAGGGAGGGGTGGGGTCGCACACTGGGTATAAAGTCGAGACAAAGAGGGTGTCGGTAAGGGGCATAAGGTGCTGGGAAAGGGGGTTATAATGTGCGGTATTATGTGTACCACTGCGCTTGGGAAATACGTGATTGACACAAAGGGTTGGTTACCCGAAGGAGGAAGGAGAGGGGTTGGAACGAGTCAAAAGCTTGTATATATGGCGTGCAGAATGTTCAAGGGGGTACCTATACGCGTAATGGGTGGAAAAAGTGATTTGGGGGGCGTTAGCGGTGACGTTGGTGTCATTGAGGAGGCTGATCAACACACGTGGTCCTATTTGATATGATGATTTATGATGATGCAGGGGGGTTTCATTTAGTTTTTACTCTAATGATTAATTTATTAATGCAACGATGAACGTGTACCCAATAATGGATAGAGATTTTTTTCATTTAATTAAACGAAAGTGGAGGAATATTGTTAACTGAAGTAAGGTATAAAATGAGTTAGTGTGAAAAATGATATATGGGAGCAAATAAATCACTGCATACAACCATAGTCCACGTGGCACCGTCACCCCTTTTGGTTTAAGTGCATTTACAATGTGAAGGGGTCGGGAAAAGACATAAATAAGTTTAACCTAAAGGACGCGTGCCTTATTGTGTATATATGTACTCTTCCTCATTGTGGCGGTACAGTAAAATCGGGATTAATCGAGCGAGAGAAAAACGAGACCGCCCCGAAAACCCATAAAGCCTATTGTGTCTCCAATGGGCGATGATCGCGATGCTGCAAGTGTTTGCTCAAATCGTCGCGGTCTTTGTGGCGCTGCTGATTGAAAGTTACGCCGATGATCATGAGGTGAAATACTCAAACCGTGTCATTGTGTGAGAAAAATTGATGGCTCATTGTTACAGGTCTTGAATGAAACAAAGGACTTGGGAATTGTCCAAGTTATGAACTTGAGATTTTTTTTTTTCTTGTGACTGAAATGATAAAAATTATCACCAATAGAAAACGGTGTCATTGTTGGCCACAGCGAGTTCGGTAAACTGTTCAAATGCATACGCACCACGAGTCCGAAAGTGAAACAAACTCAAAGCGATTCCTTTCCCTACGCTCCAGAAAAAAAAGAAAAAAATCTCAAATTCAAAGAACCGCTCTCTCGAATTTTCATCGCGTGCTCGCGCAGAAAACCTATTCAATTGGACACACACCCCGTATAGCTTCTAGATGGCAACAACGAGAGCTCGCCATTGCAACCAAAACTCCCTTTCTGCTCGTGCATTAATAATCATCGCTTTCCATGCAGCGACAACAGCAGCGGCACTACTTTATCTACATCTCATATTTATTGTAAATGTGTGTGTGTGTGTGTGTGTGTACATACGTACTTTCGATTTACATGCATGCGTTGCACCAAGAGATGAAAGTCTTTCGGCGAGCCGCTGTGTGTGTCTGCGAGTCGGTCCATATATGTGTGCTCTCGAGACGTTTATCTGCCGGCACGCATTACCATCTCTCTCTCTTTCTCTCTGACATACCTGTCTCACGACGTTTTGCTTTATAGATAATTTTTTTTTTTTTTTTTTTTTTTTTAGGTAAACGAACAGGAAGCCATTAAAGTTCTTTCTTACAGCGAGCTCTTACATAACGTGGGTCTCGTGGCACGGAACTGGCACGCATACCTCGAGATCGAATTTTACACCATTGGAATGTCCAGCATATGCTGATTGGAGCGTCGATTGGAGGTGATTAATTTTTTTTAACAATTTTTTCACTCGAGTACAATACACGTCGTAGGTATGTATGTAAACTTTGACAGACGGTAAAACACGCGTATGAGTCCAATAAAATCGTTTAAAAATAAAGAAAAGTGCCATTTTCAAGACTGTGTAAGGCGCTGCCCGCAGTAGGACACAGCGAGTCCAAAAAGCTCTGTAAGCTACGCAAGCATCTGTCCAACATTTCCCACCCCATAGCTCCCACCTTCAAAAGCTCTCCTACCTATACACTACTTGCTCACCCTGCCAACAACTTGTTTTTTTACTTCTCACCAAACGGCTCCGTAGGGACGCTTATTTGCTCTCCAAGCTCGAAAAGGACGCGCAAAACTTGAAATTTCGCCCAACAGCATAGCTGCCCGCCAAAGTTCGGAAAAAAAAGGTCAACACCCTCGTCGAGTCATCGCGTTCCCCGGGCCCTGTATACCAAATGACCGGCGAGACGTTACTTTTCGGCGATACAGCGCTCGTATCGCGGCGCATCTCCTTTCAACGTCACGGGGATCCTCCGAGCCCCCCTCGCTCGCCCGCCCGGTAACAGCATCGAAGATTCATCAGCTTGACCGAGCACGTATAAGCATACGAAACTAAAAAAAAAAAAGGAAAAAAAAGAAAAGAGTGGCCGAAACGAAAGGATCCTGAGGGGGTCGAGGGACGGTGTGGTCGTCATCTTCGGCAGATCGACGCGCGCTTTGTAACCCATAGTGCACGTGGGGATGCAAGAGGCGCCCCGAGGGACTGCCTCGCTGGATTTACGAGGAGCACAGGTATACGACGCATTTGCTTTTTCGGAGCCCAGCACCCCATATGAAATAATATACATACAGTACGTGCGCGTGCGAGCGAGCTTTATTTTTTTCCTCTTCTTCTTTGTATTTTTGTTGCTCTGTTAAGGCCCGTACTACTGTTTTTTTTTTTTTTTTTTTTTTCGGCACTTAGGTGGTAATTCTCACGGTTGACTGTTGTTGTTGTTGTTTCGTAACGCATTTGCTAAGGATTAGGTTGAAAAAGGTTAGAGATATTAAAATGGTCCTCGATCTTTTTGTCCATTCAAGTTACAAAATGAAGAAAATCTTTTTAATAGCACTCTTTTTTTCTATAAATCTCTATTAATCATTAAGGATGACGTGTATTGGAAAAAGTATTGGAGAATACCCTTCGTCAAATGAAACAAAAGAAAAGCCAAGTCTCGGGCCGAACAGAGTGACGCTCACGCCCGCAGAGATCCGCGTACGTACAATGTACACGATTAGCCACACACGTGCGTATCGTTTGCGCACACGCAAGTAAAAATACGCGCACGATCCTCCCCGGAGCCGTCGAGCCGTGAACTCTCACCTCGTAATTTAAAAGACCCCATGCGAGGAGCGAAGCTCGTGCGAAAAAAGACATACGTGAAAAAACAAGAATGGGCGATGGTGCTCGCGCTTATACGTGTATATGCATGGATGTGGGAAGGTGGCTGAGAAAGAGAGAAAGAAAAAAAACGAGGATCAGTGCACGCGCCGGAGATTGTTTGGTTTTATTGTTTTTATTGCACGAGTCGACGCCTCGTGTCGCTGGGAGAGGGTACTTGGTATCTCTCGATTTTTAAGTTTCAAAAACGATGAATGAAGGATTTGTTCATTAATTTAAGGAGTCAAGGAACTTTTCATGGAGAAATTTTCGCTTTCATTTACAATGGGTATAATCATTCACGCTGATTGAGACAAATGTTCGACTTTATTCATTCCTTGAACAAGAAAAAAAGAAATTTTTATGAAGAAAGAATTCACCTAATGGTCCAACACCTCCACTTGAGACGAGAATACGTTTTTAACTGATAAAGCAAAAACCCATCGTGGCTTTTCCACTAGCAATTATTTCAATCGAGCAAACATCGAGCAAACGAAAGAAAAAGAAAAAAAAAAAAAAAAAAAATTAAATTCATAGAGCACATTGCAAAACGAAGCAATAAATTAAGTTCACATCTGTCGTCGATGAAGCGTACACGCGCTCACATTTACATTCNAAAAAAAAAAAAAAAAAATTAAATTCATAGAGCACATTGCAAAACGAAGCAATAAATTAAGTTCACATCTGTCGTCGATGAAGCGTACACGCGCTCACATTTACATTCATTGAGGATGAGACGATCGAGTCAAAAAGCCACAACAATAGAGCACGCGCGCGCTGCTGTGTTTACTCTATCCAACAGCTTGACGATGCACTGCTCTCTGGCGCATCAATATTTAAACGAGCCCTTAATTTATCTCTCCGTTCGCGAGAAAAAGGGAGCTCTCACCCTCCTCTCGTATATCACCACTGGAGGGAAGACCCGGGGGAAAAAAAAGAGAGCAAATAAGGGGCGATATAAATTAGCACCAAGAGTTCCCATATGTATATATATACTCGATTGGGTGCCCTTTCGAGCCAACTAACGCCACTCGTGATTTATTCCATGGGAAAGTGTGTTTTCACGTACAGGACGATTCTCTTCTTACACAATACTGAGTTATGAAGCTACGGTCTCTCGCGTATGAGGTTATTCGCCGATCGGGTGATGATTTAGGACAGATTATTATCGGCTGATTCGCAATTCACGGTAGTGGGAACCGGGCATGTATATTTTTAACGCGGGTGGTTGTTTTTTTTTTTTTTCCACAGGTAAAGGCGAGAAAAAGGTCAGGGTAACGAGAACGGAAAGCTTGATTAAATGGTTGAAAAGGAAAACGCCCGTATTATTTACACGTTTTGAAATCGACAGGTATAC